CTGATTCATCAGGGTGAGAGGACTGAGGGCCCTGACACAGGAGAGATCCCTGTAAACCTGGGAATTTGAGGCTGAGATGTGGGGTTGGAGCCAGGTGCCAGGACCATCTTCCAGCAGGTGTCACCCCTGTTTCTCCATGTGGCCACTAGGGGGGATATCCCCTTCAGAATGATCCTGCTCTAGTTCAGTCTTGCTGCCGATGAGACTCAGGTGCAGGTGCTTAGAATAAACTCTGTAAGTGAAATTCAGATATCCAACATAATTAAATGGTTTATCATAGGGTTCTTTTAAATGGCAATATTTACCTAGTAATTAAAATTCTTTTAAAAGGTTGATTCACCAACTAGAAAACATCCACTTGATGAAGAGCTTGGTTTATATTCTTCTCTTCTGTGGCAGGGAGCACACAAATCATTCAGAATTACGATAATCCAAAAATGTCTGTTAGAATATGTCTTGGTATTTATTTGATGTGACTAGACAGCTTTCAAATATAGTTGACCCTTGAACAACATGGGGGGGGGTTAGGGGATCCCAACCCTCTCAACAGTCAAATGTCTGTGCATAACTTTTGACTCCCCCAAAACTTAGCTGCTGTTGACCAGAAGACTTACTGATAACATAAACAGTTGATTAACACATGTTTTGTATTTTGCAAAACATACAAGGTTTTCATGTCTGAGGGCATAGCTGCAGTGACAGTTTTATGAATTTCCTTTTCTTTTTTACAATGGTCCTTATACTGGATCATTTATCTGAAATGGTGGCAGCCAAGCTGCAGACCTCAATCTGTGGTACATGTCAAGCAATTCAACTTTTTCTTGTAATGTCATGACTTTCTCTGCTTCTTGGGAGCACTTCCAGCATTACTAGTGGCACTTCGTATGGATTCATGGTTTTTTTTTTTTTTTTTTTTGAGACAGAGTCTCACTGTGTTGCTCAGGCTAGAGTGCCATGGCGTCAGCCTAGCTCACAGCAACCTCAAACTCCTGGGCTCAAGCAATCCTTCTGTCTCAGTCTCCAAGTAGCTGGGACTACAGGCATGTGCCACATACCCGGCTAATTTTTCCACATATATATATATGTATATATATATATATAGCACTCTAGCCTGGGCAACAGAGTGACTCTGTCTCAAAAAATAAATAAATAAATAAATAAAAATCACACGTTCTCACTCATATATAGGAGTTATAAAAGTTGATCTCATGGAGGTAGAGAGTATAATGAGAGTTATCAGGGGCTGAGAAGGGTGTGTGGGCGTAGGAGGGGTTGAAGAGAGATTGGTCAATGGGTATAAACAAGCAAATAAAAGGACTAAGTTCTAGTGTTCAACAGCATAGTAGGGTGACTACAGTTAACACATTGTATATTTCAAAATAGCTAGAAGATTTGAAATGTTCCTAAGACTAAGAAACATTCTGTGCATATATCAAAATATCACATGTACCTCATAAATATGTACAAATATTATGTATTGATAAATAAATTAAAAGATTTAGTTTTCAGAATAAAGGTGTCAGTTATGTTGTTCACCCTGTCAGACTTCAAGACTTGGGCAAGTTAGATCAATATGGTTCAGAATAAAAGTACTATGTTTTGAGGCCTAATAGATATAATAAAATCAAGACACTAGAAGGTGAATTCAGGCAAGTGACAGTACAGAGGCCTTATTACTGGCACAAAGCTCTCCCTCACCACCATTCTCCGACATTCCCTGGCCTGCCCTTCAAGCCTCCTACTCACCTGATAATAAGCACCAGCATTGGCATCGCCATATGTGGAAAACTGATTGTAGCTGTAGTCGTCCCCAGGCTTAGGCATCCAAGGGGCCCCACTTGAGCCTGCTGCCATCTTGAACTCAAGGGGGGCATTGGCTGCATCGTCCTGGAAAGCCGGCTCTGGTTCTGTGCCTGGAGGCAGCTCTTCAGGGACAGTGGGGATGGGGTAAGGGTATGGCTCAACTCCAGGTGGCTCAGCCTTTTCAGGGAGGGAAAAAAAGTTCTCAGGGGCTACTTCCTCATCACTGTCATCCTCCTCTTGTGTGATTTGCTTTGTCACCTGCAGAGCAGCACTCTTGGCAGCAGCCTTGATGGCAGAGGGTGACGGAGTTGTGGTTGTGGTGCCCACAACAGGGGCAAGAGAAGTCTTGGTCTTAGAAGCCAGTCTGGAGGGCTTAGTATCAGAGGAGCCATCCGAGGGTTTGCGGGAAAAGGCATGGGGCAGGAGCAACCTATTAGTCTCTTTCACAGTCAGGTTTTTAGGTTGGGGAAGCAAGGCAGACAGACCAGTCCCCTCACCGGATCCCTGGTGAGCCCGGATTTAGCATAGGAGGGAAGAAAGAGGATAAGTGAGATTTTATATTGTGTACTAGCAACACCAAAAACAAGAATTACAGATATGTGCTCTAGCCCAAAGTATTACCAGCCCATGTTTCCTTCTTACCTCCATCTACTCAGGACATCCAATCTGGGCTTAGTTCCTCCTACCTCAGGACCCTCCGCTGGCTGCTTCTCCCAAGGTAAGATGTCATTCCTCTTCTCCCTGACCCCATCCCAACTCAGCTCCAATGCCCTCTGCCAGAGAGCCTTCCCCAATTCTGTGTCTTCAGCAAATATGATACTCTTAATCTCATATCATCCTTTCTCCCAAAAAGCCCAGGTATCTCTCAAGCTCATCACTCAACCTCTCTCCATGTCCGGAAGGGACCTCTTAATGTGGGAATCCTTTTCTTCCTTTAGATTGCTACCCAAAGTCAAGAAAGAACGAGTCTCTGTCCAAAAGAGACATTCATGCATATTTCCAAAATTCTTCTCCCCTGGCTGAGGCAAAGGTTGACCCCAGCCAGACCCCTCAGTGGCTGCCAATGATGCCTAGGAAAGAAAGGAGGCTGAGCATGTTCAAACAGGAGGCAGTGAGTGCGGAGACTAAGAGGGGCCCAAGACAGCTTTTTCCAACTCTTTAAATCGCTCTCCTTGTCACCACTCCCAACGCACAGGAGATAGGATTTCCTTTTTCTTTTCCCAGATGCAAAACTGAAGCCTGAGCTTGGGTTGAGCAGCCCCCTTTAAATTTGAGTGCTGGCAGGGCATGGTGGCTCATGCCTGTAATCCTAGCACTCTGGGAGGCCAAGGTGAGAGGATCACTTGAGGTCAGGAGTTTGAGACCAGCCTGAGCAAGAGCAAGACCCTATCTCCACTAAGAATAGAAAAAATTAGCCAGGCAACTAAAAATAGATAAAGAAAAAAAATTAGCCAGGTGTGGTGGCGCACACCTGTAGTCCTAGCTACTTGGGAGGCTGAGACAAGAGGACTGCTTCAGCACAGGAGTTTGAGGTTGCAGTGAGCTATGATGATGCCACTGCACTCTAGCCCAGGAAATGGAGTGAGACACTATCTCAAAGAAAAAAAAAATCTGACAAAAGTCCCCTCCCCTGCCCACATAAAGCCCTACAGATGTAGTATATCAGCTTGTTAATGCCAGAGTCAAGCACTGAACTTATCAATTTGTAAGCTAATTGGCCCAGCCCATCCATAGTTCCTAATACTCATAAGAAACTCTGAGATTCTGCTTTCTGTATGCTAAAGGGCCAGCTTGGCTGAGGACTGAGGGAAGTACCAATTGGAAAAAGGAGATGAAATAAGGTCACTGTGTCACTGTCCTAGAGTACCAGTACTCTAGCCCTCTCAGCCAAAAAAATGCCCAGAATGAATAAAAATAAGACTTCTGAGTCAAGCTGGCCAAGTAGAATTATTCATCTGGAGAGTGGGCTCCTGTCCATTGTCTGTGTTCACAGATTTGGGTCAGCCCAGCCTGGCAGCTCCCAGAGGCTCAGGCTCATAGGAACCAGATTGAGGAGCTGGGTTGAGCAGACCCTCAGGCTCCCTCTGAAGTGTCTGACTTCTCAAATGACACCTGGGATCATGGCAACATCCCTTTGCAGTGCTGGGTCCCCACTCTGCCTTAACAGCTCAGAATTCCTCTATCTGCTCAACTTTTGCTACCACCTGGAAGATTGCTCTTTACTTGTGGGATACCTTCTGAGCCAGTCCACCTCCTCCAGGATGCCATCCTGGTAACAGGACTGGCCTTGCACTGTCTCAGCATGCCAGGTTCTTCTATGACTCCTTCCTCCTCACTACTCACTATACATACAGACACACCACTACCCTGACCAATTATCTTTCTAACTTCCACGTGACCATGTCCTTCTAAGAGCTATCAGAAGTGCAAGTGAGGCTAGGCGCGGTGGTTCACGCCTATAATCCTAGCACTCTGGGAGGCCGAGGCAGGCGGATTGCTCCAGGTCAGGAGTTCGAAACCAGCCTGAGCAAGAGCAAGACCCCATCTCTACTAAAAATAGAAAGAAATTAATTGGCCAACTAATATATATAGAAAAAATTAGCCGGGCATGGTGGTGCATGCCTGTAGTCCCAGCTACTCGGGAGGCTGAGGCAGCAGGATTACTTGAGCTCAGGAGTTTGAGGTTGTTGTGAGCTAGGCTAACTCCATGGCACTCACTCTAGCCTGGACAACAAAGCGAGACTCTGTCTAAATAAAAATAAAAAAAAAAAATAAAGAAGTGCAAGTGACACTTTAACACAGTCAGGGGAGGGAGCACTGTCAGCATCATACACCTGAATCATGAGACTACTTTATAAAGGCAGGACTGCTTTTGCTTTTCCCTGAGACATATCATCAACATAAGGACAGAAAGCATATAAATCACCAAGCATGGAAAGAACAGGAAGAAACTCCTAGGGGCCAGAATAATGGTACTAAGACAAGGGGCAACAGAAGCGAACAGCAGGGAGATCAACTACTAGCACTATCTTGTTGAGGACTTATGGTCTTGTTTACAGAGAAGGAGCCAAGTGCAGCCATTAAGAACTTGGACTCAATAGACAGACTGTCTGAATCTGAATCCCAGCTCTGCCCACACTAGTTGTCTGACCTTGGGCAAGTTCCTCAGTTTCCTCATATGTAAAATAAGGATGATAATAATACTATGACTTAGGCACTATCATGAGGATGAAATCAGTTAAATGCTGGTAAAGCACTTAGAACAGTACCTGATACACAGTAAGTGCTATTTAAGTGTTTATTTTCCAGGTTAAAAATGAGACAGGGAAAAAAAGACGGACAATTTTAAAATATAGATGGTCCCTAACATCATTTTAACCAATCCATTTATTCTACCCTCCCTAAGTAATCCTTTTACACGAACTGTAATGAACTGAATTGAGTTATGATTCATCTCCCTACCACTGTCTGTCCTCTAGAAAAGGTAACACCATCATGCTAAAGCCAGGAACAGTGAGGAGGGGGTAGAGATGCACAGGGTCTGAAGTTACAAAGGAAAACAAAACCAAAGCTAAATAGTTCTCAAATACTTGTGTTTGTTCTAAACCCGATTTGAAAGCTGCTGGCATTATAAGTCATGTCTTTCAGGAAATAACATGGGAAGAGAAGAAATGGCTTATATGATGTCACAAAGCTTACCTGAAGGACAGTTTTCTTCTTTGTGGGTTCATCTTCCTCAGAATCTGACTAAGAAAAAAAGAAATGGAATAAGGCCTCACTGTTTTGAAACAGTGGAGGAAACACATTAAATGGAAGAAACACATCTGGGACAGTAGAGGAAAGCATACATAAAGGGTTGGAAAACAGAGGCCATCTTGTCTGTGCCCCACCTCTGTACAGAGGTGCACCCACCCTAGGCCCATTCAAACAGCAGAGCTTCCTTCCTGATTTCAAACACTTCAGAGAACTGGGTATGCCCTGATCTCCCTTGGTCACTCACTGCCCTACCCACCCCAGGCCTGTTGCATACCCTTCACGGAATCAATTTACTTTCTTAATAAATTAACACTATTTAACAATTAACACTATTTCTTCCTATTTGGTCCTTGATGGAAAGAAAAAGCTATACTCATTCTTCTTCCTATAAATCTGTCCACTAGAAGATGAATGGGATTTGGCCCACAATTTCACCCAATCTCAGCTTCGCTTTTAAAACCACTTATATAGACTACATAACCACAGGGCTGGGGAATTCCAGTGGGACTAAGTGATGTGTTAACTACTCTTCTATAAGGCATTAAAGGTCAAAGCCATTGGAGAAATCCATTCCATCTCCAAGTATGATCTATAGTCTGCCAGACAGAGTTGTTCATGTTCAGGAAGAAGACAGGCAAACGATGACTATGAGGATTGGGGGCAAGACTGGATGGAGGTCATCTGTGTTATCCTTCTGATTCATCAGGATTGTTTCTAAGACAAGCTCTCACAGTAAAAAATATCCAAATTTTCAGTTCAATACCTTCAAGTCAAGGAAAGATACAAGGCATATGAATGGCAAGCTTTAACATTTTATTTTTAAAAATTACTCCCCAAACCAAGAACTTTAAGCTTTCCATTTGTTCCCAGGGCCTTGGTTTGGACATCCTGTAAAAAAGGTGATTAAGCAGGAATCTGAGATTCCATTCATCTCCAACATTCTATAAAACCTCAAATCCTCTGCCTGCCTTTCAACTGACTATTATTTCTCACAAGTTCCTTTTTGAATTTGTCTGTTATAAAAATCTTTCGATCATAATTACCTACTACAGAACTGTGCTAAGTTCTGTAGACAGAGTGTTCCAACTGGCATCCCAGGCAGGACTTGGGGCAGCTAAAGTCCTGGACTGCTAGTCTCTCTGGGTACAACCTAGACCATTAATCCCAATGTGCTTCAAAGATTTTGTGCACATCATGACATGAAAAAAGAATGTGCTCTCAAAGAACTTACAACCCAGTAAGAAGAATAAGAAGTACCTAAATAATTGTAATAAAAAGAAATAAAAGATAACAGCATTGACTATGGTTCAAACATTCCCTCAATTAGTTCAGCCTTTATGGAAAACCATATGGAGGTTCCTTTAAAAACTAAAAAATAGAATTACCATATGATCCAGCAATCTTACTTCTAGGTATTTACCCAAAAGATTTGAAATTAGTTGTCAAACAGACCTGTGTACTCTCATGTTCACTGTAGCACACCATAACCAAATTATTAAATCAACCTAAGTGTCCATCGGTGGATAAATGGATAAAGAAAATGTGTGTATAAATACACACACACACACACATATATATATATATACACAGAATACTATTCAGTCTTTAAAATTAAGGTTCTTCAGGTACTACAGGATAATAGAAAAGATAAAAATTAAAAAGGAAATTCTGTCATTTGCAGCAACATGAATGGAATTAGAGAACGTATGGTAAGTGAAATAAGCCAGACACAGAGAGATAAATACCACATGTTCTCATCACTTATATGTAGAATCTAAAACAATCAAAATCACGGAAGCTGAGAGTAGAATGGTGGTTACAGAGGCTAGGGGAAGGTGGGGGAAATGGGGAGATATGGTCAAAGAGTATAACATCTCAGGAAGAATAAATTTGTCAGGTTTTTTTTTTTGAGATCTATTGCACAACATAGTGAATACAGTTAGTAACAGTATATGGTACATTTCAAAATTGCTAAGAGAGGCCTGAGGCGGGTAATCTTAGCACTCTAGGGGACAAGGAGGGAGGACCACTTGAGGCCAGGAGTTTGAAACCAACCTGAGCAAGAGTGACCCCCGTTTCTACAAAAAATAGAAAAATTAGCCAGGAGTGGTGGCTCACATCTGTAGTCCCAGCTACTTAGAAGCATGAGGCAGGAGAATTGCTTGAGCCCAAGAGTCTGAGGTTGCAGTGAGCTATGACGATGCCAGTGCACTATAGCCTGGGAGACAGAGCAAAACCCTGTCTCCAAAACAAAAAACAAAAAAAGCTAAGAGAATAAATTTCCAATGTTCTCACCACAAAAAATAATAAGCATTTGAGCTAATAGATATGTTAATTAGCTTGATTTAATTATTCTACACTGTATTCATAAATCATAACATCACTTTGTACCTCATAAATATATATAATTATAAATTATCAATTTAAGGGGGAGATAAAGTGGGGGAGGAAAAATTTTTTAAAAAGTAGTCAATTTGGCCAGGTGTGGTGGCTCATGCCTGTAATTCCAGCATTCTGGGAGGCCGAAGCGAAAGGATTGCTCGAGGTCAGGAGTTCAAGACCAGCCTGAGAAACAGCGAGACCCCACCTCTACTAAAAATAGAAATTATCTGGACAACTAAAAATATATATAGAAAAAATAAGCTGGGCATGGTGGTGTATGTCTGTAGTTCCAGCTACTCAGGAGGCTGAGGCAGGAGGATTGCTTGAGCCCAAGAGTTTAAGGTTGCTGTGAGCTAGGCTGACGCCACAGCACTCTAGCCCCAGCAACATAGTGAGACTCTGTCTCACACACACAAAAAAAAGAGTAGTCAATTTAAGCCAGGTGCAGGGGCTCGTGTCTATAATCCCAGCTACTCAAAAGGCTGAGGTAGGAGGATTGCTTGAACCTGGGAGTTAAAGAGCAACCTGAGCAACACAATGAAACCCCAGCGCAAAAACAAAATTATCAATTTAAAATACAATTAAAAAGAAAATCTCCTTAAAGAATCTGCTGCTCCTGCATTTGTGCTTTGTTTCATGTAAGTCTTCCTCTTCTTACTCCCACCCTCTGTACCTGTATCATTGCCACCTCTCTATCAGACTGCACTCTGTACTTCCTGGCTCACAGCTCCTGAGAAGTCTCTCTGATGCACAGCACCTTGCTCTTTATCACTCACTGTCCCTGCATCACTCATCTGTTTAAGGTGGCATCATATTAACTCTAATCCATTTGTGCTTGCTCTGTAAACATTACATTTTTCATATGTGTATTCTCACCTTTACTCTGACAGTAACAGCAAAGGCCATATCTTATAGTTGAATATTGCTTCCCAGGACTCAGTACACAATGACTTTAATTACTAACTGCTGTCAAAAAAAAAGCCATAAGGGAAATCTGTCTTGGTACCTGAATGTGAGGGATAAAGGAAAAGAGTAGCAAAGAAAAGGACAAACATCTACTAAGTACCTCCTATGTGTCAGGCAATTTACTCATAATTTTTCATTTAACCCTTACAATAACACTTCAAGGTAAGCATTATTATCTCAATTTTAAAGGTAAGGAAAATGAGGCTCAGAGAGATGAAACAATGGCTAGGACATGTTGGAACCAGGACCTGAATCAATCCTAGCTTTTATGCTTTTGTAGCAATACCACGCTAAGCTATGTTTGTCCAGGCCTGAGACCCACACTGACTAGATCCCACATGATACAGTTGAAAGTGAGGCACAAAATCAGAAACATGGGTTTAAGTCGCAGCTCTGCCACTTATTGTCTGGGGAATCCAGCTATTTAACCTCCCTAAGCTTCCCTTTCCCCAAAAGGTAGCTGGAAATAATACTTATCCACATCAAACTGCAGGAGACCCAGTGAAAATGCTTCTCCTGTCGGTGAAAATGATACAAAAAAATTCTAAACAGAGTTCAAGGATTATTATTCTTTCTGGTTTGCCAAGATGTCAAACTCAACCAAGAAAAAGACTTAAGCACCCAACCCCTAAGCATTTTCTACCTCTTATCTCTGTTCCAAACTCCCATTGCCTCTTTCAAGCTCCTGACCACCTCCCTTGTCTTTTAATCATGAAGATTCATCTCCTTTCTGGCAGACCACACAGAACCACCTCACTATGGGATACAAGGTTTTCATGGAGTCCTCAGGCACATTTAAACTTTAACATCTTAGGCAATGGGTCCAATGGCAACAATCTGAAAATAAACAAATGTTATCCAAGTTTAAGGTGATTCTATTTGTAAAACTGCATAAGCATATTCTTATTTTTCAGATCCTGTGACAAAGTGGCTACTATGAGAGTGGTAAGCAAACTGTCCTACAGCTAATAAAATTGAAGGACAGATCAGCTGTGGGAAGAAAATTCAATTTCTCTTTAAATGTCAGATTGTTTCCATTATACTGACAACCAAAGTTTATGGTTTTAAAACACACACACACACACACACAAAACCTGTACGAATACTTTAGAACACCTTATTATATCTGGATTTAAAGAACTGCTATGGGCCAGGCATGGTGGCTCACGCCTATAATCCTAGCACTCTGGGAGGCCGAGGCAGGTGGATCGCTCAAGGTCAGGAGTTCAAAACCAGCCTGAGCAAGAGCAAGACCCCGTCTCTACTAAAAATAGAAAGAAATTAATTGGCCAACTAATATATATATAGAAAAAATTAGCCGGGCATGGTGGCACATGCCTGTAGTCCCAGCTACTCGGGAGGCTGAGGCAGGAGGATCGCTTGAGCCCAGGAGTATGAGGTTGCTGTGAGCTAGGCTGACGCCACGGCACTCACCCTAGCCTGGGCAACAAAGCAAGACTCTGTCTCAAAATAAATAAATAAATAAATAAAGGACTGCTATGACTACTCACAATCGTCCCTCTCTTTGAACATCCTATACTAAACTTCTACTGAATCCCATTATAAATCACCTCATGACATACCCTAAATGAGAGACTTCCTGGAATAGAGCACTAAAATAAGAACCTCAAAAACGTGCTGAG